TGGTCTTAAAAGGTGCCACTGGACCCAAACTTTGTTCTCTTTCTTCAGACCAGCGTGGCTACCCACCTATATGCAATCCTAATTAGAGTGACACCATTTTAAGCCCACTGACTTCAATGTACTCTGCAATGTGTAAGGTTGTTTTCCTGTGCACACTTAGCTGGGAATAAGCCCCATTGAACACAGTGCTTTAAAAGACCACTGCACAAAATATAATCCGCAGTACTCTTTCAGTGCTTGATGCAAACTGGCATGTAATAGAAAAGTATTTTGACTGCTCTTCCTTCTATAGGCAAATGTAAGTTGCTTTGCTCTTGCCTTAATAGGTGCCAATGATACATTTAAAGGACAGTAAACAAAAAATATCCATTCAGTGGCTTTCCTTGAGAAAAAGGGACATAAACGCCAGTGTTTGCAGTGGTAAATGCAATGAAGTGTGAAAGGAGCTGCTTATTTAGAAAACACCCAGGAGACACGCTTGTGGAAGCTCTGATGGCCATACCACACCCTGACATGTGCCCATAAACATGTCTCTGTATGTCATTATAGTATTTACCACGGTAGCACAAAAACCTGTTTGATAAAGCTGGGACATACCCTCATTCATTGCACTGCAAAATGAGAGAGCCCCTCTATGTGGAGTAGAGAAATGAAGTTCTTGAGTGGCTTGCTGTAAGGCTGCATATAAAACCTTTGGCTCAGGTGAAATGATTCTCTGAAATGAAGACTGGAGGATTCTCCCCTTAGGTGACTTTCATTTACTTTATTTTTTACTTCTACATCAGAGTTATCATGGAACTCAGAGTGACATACATGGGATCAATGTTCCCTCTAAGCTGTGGAGTCTTGTGAGCAAAAACTTTACTTTGTGAGCTACTGCCATTAAAGTTGTGAGCAAGCAATTTGGCTACTGCATAAATTAGTTTGCTCTGGAGCCATCCTTCCTGAGCTAAGACAAAAATGTGTGAGCCGGAGGCCAAAAAACTGAGCTAGCTCACGCTAACTCAGCTTAGAGGGAACCCTGCATGGGATTCCCAGCAGGTCTCTGCCAGAGAAACAAATTTCTTTAGGGAAAATAAAACAGACATTTTGCAAAAGATTGATATATGCAGTATTTATTTCAACTGTAAACTTAACTTTACTGTTTTTGACACCATCAAATGCATCATTTGTAACTTAGCATATAAATTTTGTTTATTTAGTTCAATTATACCCAGTCTTTCTCCCCAAAATGCTTTATAATAAATAAAAGAAAGTGTGTTTTTTAGACAGATTTGGATACCAAGTTAAAGACAATAGCCTCTTCAGTAGTATAGAATTGTCTTACACAATATAGCATATACATTGTGGACAAAATTAATGTCTCATAAATATATCCCTGAAAATATTGCATACATCTACAGTATGCACAGGAATTATTTGATGCCAGCAACCCTTACATAAAAATCTTCATACTATATATTCTGAGTAAGTAAAATTGTATTTTAAACATTTTACTCATCTTGAAAGAGAAAAATATTTTACAAGATTTCCCCCTCCCCGTGTCTTTACATTTCGGTTGGAAAAACTGAAAAGCCTTTGGCTTTCACATTTTATGCTATGCTGCTATTGATGATGCTAGTAGCAGCTTAGCTTCAAAGCTGTGGTATCATGTGCCTCCCAACCAATCCCAAAGACCCTGGCTTACAGTTGAGTGGCAACTGTAGTTGGCAGTGGCGTACAAGTTGGAAGACTCTGGTTAGAGCTTTTCCTCCAAACCAGAATTGGATGTCTTTGAAAACCGCAGTTGGCATTCAAGTGAAAATGAAGCCACGTGTGGGGGGATATAAGGGAAGGAAATGTGGGAGCCTGTGGGTCACTTGAGATTTGAGTCTATTGGTACCGTCTTAAGCAGAGTTACAGTCTTTTAAATCCATTGAAATCAGTGGACTTAGAAGGGTGTATCTCTGTTCAGGATGGCACTGTTAATCTCCCTGGTTCAAACCCACTCTTGTAGCCATTTCCATGTGCAGTTTTCCCCCCTTTAAGTAGACACAAGGAGTGACAGAAAGTTGTCAGTCATGTATCTTTTAACATGAGCAGATGTATGAGATCTACATGGCAAGACTCCCTCTGACTTCCCCACCTTAGTGTGTCTGACTTCTCTATGTTAAAGATGCAAATCTTAAACTGCTTACTACATGTCTTTGAAAAGGGACCCAAACTCATCAGGTACTTTATTATTATTTTTAATACTAGCAGGTACTTTATTAATACTAGCAACTGTGCCTTGACTATTGTGTTAATCATTACTTTGTTCTTTATATATGTTTCTGCAGCTTCTCTTACATATGGCTTCCTGTTTGCTTTCCTGTTCACTCTCTTTCTGTGCAACATTTTCCAATGACATGATGCTTCATATTGTGGTTATACTGTTTACAGTGTCCCAAATTAAGCTCTGCTTTTTTATAGGATCATATTTGCTTAATAATTTGAATTAGATGGGGTTTCACCACAAACACCTGTAAAGGTAGTCTAATCAATGTGAATGAATTCCCAAATGTACCTTGTGGTTTGAAGGCTGAATTTCAAAATAACCAGACTTGAAATAGTTGCTGCCAATGCTGCCTTTACTTGCTGGAAGACAACAGTACAATTATAAAGAGGTTATTCTAGTTTTTAAAATACTTATTAAAGTAGCATGAAATAATCTGGACATACAGGTTTCCCTTTGCTGATGCTTAGCTTTGCACCTATATAGTATTTTAAGTTGTGCCATTTTATTTATGTGCTTGGTCATTTCTTAATGTTCTAGTAGCAACCCAGCAGCTCTCAGCTCACCTAAATTGTCAGCTGTGTTATCCCTGTAAATGGTTTCTGTTTTCTGAATCACTTTATTTCCCTAGCTCTGCATGTAAACAAAAGTGGAGGGCTGGGGTAGAGACCACACTGGTCAAGCTTTACGTCATGCTACCTCTGTTTAAACATTATTTTTAAGACCTCAACCTTCACAGTCACCCAGTGAACTTCCATGGCAGAGAGAAGATTTGAACCTGAGTCTTCCAAATCAAGTCTGGCACTCTAACCACTACACCACACTGGTTCTCAAAAGCAGTTTGCAGAAGCAAGTTAATACTTTTCTGCTATTTGTAGGTTTTTGTCTGTTCCATAATATGGGGAGAAAAGTACTTTGTTAAATATAATTTCCAGTTATGAAGTCATGTTGGTATGAATGTGTATAGTTTGGAAAGCCTGTAGTTGGGTTACCTTTTCCTCATAAATATGGCTGAATACACTAAAATAATGTCTTTGAAACTTGAATCAAGAATTGGAGACCTCGTTTGGCTTCTTAAAATTAGTTGACACTCTTGGTCTGTGATCTTGGATTTTACTGCGCTCAGGGAAACTGACTACTCGCAGGGATTTTCCCTTCATTTCAGTGACTGAGGAACCAGAAGTCTTCAGCTCCATGGCCAAGGGGAAGAGGGAGAGAGCATGCAGTCCCAAAAATCAACTAGGCTTGTGTTCAAGTGGGCCCTCATTTGTGCATGACATCTAAATGTCTTTTGTGCATGCAGAAATAATACTATATACACAAAGTCTTTTCTCCATAGCATGCTGAGCTTCTCAAAGTGAATCTGATCAAATTTTACATTGTCCCATAAATGGTACCCTAAACAAGCTCCCAATTGCAGCCTAAAGTTTACTAGATTGTCTAAATTAGTTCTGTTCAGACATCTTGAATGTCTGGTGCACAATAAATACTCCTACCCCAATGTAGCAGTTGGAACTCTGAAATAAAAGGGAAGCTGGTGAATTATTCTCTATGACTGCAGGGTTATGTTGAAAAATGCAGTAGAAAATTCCATAAAAATCAGAAGAAACTGGAGGAATTTGGTTCATGGTTTGTTTTTACTTTTTCATGATGAAGTTCTTACAGCAGTGTCAGTGTAACAACATTGCTGAATATTTGTAGCATCTACTGTTACAGCCTGGCTTCCATAGTAATAGTGGTGATGAAGTTGATAATATGCAAACTATGTTAATGATAGTCAACACTAATCAAGTCATGAGGCAACATTTTAAGTGTGTGGATATAACATGTTTGGGCAGAAGCAGACAACACAGACTCTCCTCTTTTTGTATTATGTGAATGTAGATCTTTTAACCTTAAACGTAAGTTTTTGAGTTGACTGTTAAGCTTTGGGATTAATTTAAAATTGTGTTTTAGAGCACTGTAAATCAATTTAAGGTAAAGTAGAATTGTATAGAATAAAAAGAGCTTTGTCTGTTGGATGAACAGAAAATAGTTAAATAAAATCTTCCATGCAGAATTCTTGTCATACTTTTAAATTTACTATAAGAGAGTACATCTGAAATGGGCACTTAAAGTATGGACATAAATCTTGTACTTTTAAAGTACACACTACAGAAGGTTTTATCTTAACATATGAACATATGTATATGTATATGTATATATACAGTCTGTATATATACGGAAAACCACACATTTTTGTATTGTGAACCTTAGTCCCCTGAAAGAAGATCAAATTGCTTGAAATGTCTTGGGACTTAGTTTTGTCACATATGTTCTGTGAATATTTGTCACTTGTCTGTACTTTAAGGTGCTGCCTTTCTTAGCTGGGTTGTGATCCTCTTGCAGCAGTTTTTATTGCTGGTGAGATGCTCTTCAATTTTAGCAGTGGAAACAGCTGTGGCACAGTCAGGAAGTAAATTGCCAGTTGTCTCTTGTGTGTGACTCCGTTCTTTGCATACTAGCCTCTGTCCTCAAATACTAGCTAGGCCTTGGGCATGAGTGTTATATACAATAGTTTCAGGCTTTGTTATTGCTTACAAATATCATGTTGGGTAGTCTGCTGGAGCTCAACAGTGTATGGTGGAGTTATAATTGGTATGTGTGGTCTGGTGATCTTATTTGTATTTAAGAATGGTCTGTCAGACACCACAAAATAAATCAGGTCTTCCTAACTTTCTGTTTTCTCTGCTATATTTCATTGCAGTTTTTAGAGATGGCTGACTTTCTGAATTTTCCTCACTGATGGTTGATTAAAATTTGGAAGCACAGGATGCAAATAGCTGCTCTGATGTTTTGATGTTACGTGAGCATCCAAGGAAGACAGCCTCTCTCCCCAGTGAGAGACTATAAAATGCATGTTATGAATTGTGTCTCCTTGGTCAATGATAAAGAAAATGGAGCTATTTCAGTTGAAGCTGGATTAATGATTGGAGATACAACAGAGCCACAAGAACCACAGCCGCCTCCACCACCACCTCTACCTCCTCCACCATGTCAGTCTACAGAAGCTGCTGGGGTACCGCCGCCGCCGCCTCCTCCTCCTCCAGTACTAAGCAGACCTCCATTGCCACAGATTGTAAATGGGCATGGCCACCAGAGCAAGAAGAAGCGGATACGAAATTTCTTCTGGAAAACTATCCCTGAAGAACAAGTTCGGGGTAAAACTAATATCTGGACTATTGGTGCAAAGCAGAGCTACCAAATTGACACAAAGACAATTGAGGAATTCTTTGGGCAGCATGAAGAAACAGCGCGTCTGGATGCCAGGCGTAGAAGTTCAAGGAGATCATTTAGGGATGCCAAACAAGAGGTAAGTGTGAACTGGAACTGGAGCAATCTTCTCTTCTATTAATAAAATGTTTCAGAAGTCACTGCCTAATTATTTGACTTCATTTACCTTATTTCCTGTTTTTGTGCTTTGATCTTGCTATTTTGTCCAAACAGTTGGAGCCTAAGAAGTTGTAGGATATAACCACCAGGAATAGCTTGGAGCTCACAGTTTATCAAAATATTTTAGACAGTATGTGGTACAATAGTTGTACTTGAAACTGACAGTGTAGAATATCTTTAAGATATAAAACTTCATCTTAAGGATATTTTGAAAGCTTGCTCTTTTAGCTAAGTAGATATAAAAAACTCCTCGGTATTATATTAAAATGTTGTTACTCTTTCATATTATTCGTAAAAGAATCCCTCATAAACAGTGAAATCCTGAACAGAGTCATCTGTTCTAGCTTCATTGAAATCAGTGGCCTCAGAAGTTAGAAGGGTATAACTCTGTTCATGATTGCACCGTGAAAAACCTAATGCTTATTTGAATAAAATATTTTTCTGTGAGGAAAATAATTTTTTCTGGACCAAGGTACCAATAGCAAGAAGTAGAGCTATTTTTATACCATTCTGAAGATCTCCACAAATGACTTAAAATAATTATCTGCTGATTAATAGTGAGTGAATTGATGGACAATTTGATAGCAAAAATCAGAATGCCGAAAAGCCATGTGCTAGATCTGTCACAAGGTTGTCTTCCCCATGACCCTATTGTTGAAGCTGTGTGTGTGTGTGTGTGTGTATGCGGATACTTACTGCACAGTGTAACAGCTGGCTTTCTGAATGTATTGGCATTAGTTTAAAAAGGTTAACTCCTAATTCTCATGATGTTAGAAATTTTCTAAATTCTCAGGTGCTGTCTCAGACATTTGACTAGAATTAGTCTAGTGGAAATACTGCCTTGTTTTGAGCTTCCTTGTACCTCATGGCTGCTGTTTCCTGGCCAGTCATCATCATGCTGGCCCTTTGGCCCTCATCTCCATGCATTCCTTTCATTTGATTCTCCATGGCTTCTGTCATGGCATGTCTTGCTAAATCCTAGCATCCTAGTTCATTAGACACCTTTAAATATACCAAAAAAGCATATTTACATTGTTTGGGGATATAGAATTTAAGTTATTAGGCTTGGAATGCATGGAAAGTTTATTTAAACCCATGGGCCTTTATTCTCAAGGTATCTTCTGCCTTCATTTGAGAGAGGGAATGGAAATTACATTAGTTCTTGGATCAGGTAGTGTTCCTCAAATCATTATGGGCTTACATGGGTGGTGTTTGCATGTGCTAGCTGTGTGGTAGATCTACTTGCTTATGTTTCAGCTGTGCTCAGAAGTTTCAGGGTTTTACTAGTCCACTTAGTGAATGCATACTATGGCTGCAATCGTAAGAGCAAGGCCCATTGACGAAAATAGGATTTAATTCTGAGTGGACCTTCTTAGGAATGCTTAAGAACATAAGAACATAAAAGACGCCAATGTTGGATCAGGCCAAAGGCCCATCCAGTCCAACACTCTGTCACACAGAGGCCAAAAATACCAGGTGCCATCAGGAGGTCCACCAGTGGGGCCAGGACATTAGAAGCCCTCCCACGGTTGACCCTCCCCAAGCACCAAGAAGACAGAGCATCACTTGCCCCAGAGCCCCTATCTATACCTTGTGGCTAATATCCACTGATGGACCTCTGTTCCATATGCTTATCTAATTCCACTTTGAAGCCATCCATGCTTGCAGCCACCACCACTTCCTGTGGCAGTGAATTCCGTGTGTTAATCACTCTTTGGGTGAAGAAGTACTTCCTTTTATCTGTTCTAACCCGACCGCTCAGCAATTTCATGGAGTGCCCACGAGTTCTTGTATTGTGAGACAGAGAGAAAAGTACCTCTTTCTCTACCTGCTCTATCCCATGCATAATCTTATAAACCTCAATCATGTTACCCCTCAGTCATCGTTTCTCCAAGCTAAAGAGCCCTAAGCGCTTTAACCTTTCCTCATAGGGAAAGTGTTCCAACCCTTTTATCATTTGAGTTGCCCTTTTCTGCACTTTTTCCAAAGCTATAATATCCTTTTTAGGGTGTGGTGACCAGAACTGTACACAGTATTCCAAATGAGGTCGCACCATTGATTTATATAGGGGCATTATGATATTGGCTGATCTGTTTTCAATACCCTTCCTAATAGCCCCCAGCATAGCATTGGCCTTTTTTATTGCTTCTTAAGTTATCACTCTGTTAGCTAGTTTCATGTGAACAGGGCAGGCAGTTGGGTTAAGGATGGGGTTGCCAGGTCCCCCCTGGCCACTGGCAGGGGATTGGGGGGGGGTAGGCTTCCAAGTTGGGAAACTCCAGGAGGTTGGGGGGTGGAGTCTGAGAAGGTCAGGGACCTCAGTGGGATACAATGCCATAGAGTCCATCCTCCATTTTATTTAAGAGAACTGATCTCTGTAGTCTGTAGTCTGTAGATAAGCTTTAATTCCAGGGGACCCCCGGGTCCCACCTGGAGCCTGGCATCCCTAGTTTATGGAACTTAAACCAAACACACTCTTGCCTTAGCAAAACAAAGGCTAGTATCAAAAAGTATTGGTGTACTGTATGCACATGTAGAAAAATTGTGGAAGGAAGTACTACAACAGATTTCATCTTCAGCACCAAAGTGCTGCTGAAGAACCAGTAATGCATAAATTGGTTATTGAGATTATAGCCAGAGAGTGTTTAGATAGTGGGTTGTTTTTTTACATTTGTTCAAAACTTCATTGAGAGTTAGTTGTTAGTTCTTTTATAGCTAACAACACAAGGATTTACTTGTGTAAATTGTGCTTAACCAGTCTTATAAGCTCATCTGTCACCTGTAAGGTTTTGGTGATTTGGTAGTGTGTCGTTCTCCCCCCCCCCCCCCCATATCCCTATCACTTTGTATGCATTGGAGTTTGCCTTTTAAGCTTTTACCTGTTTTCACACCATAATAATGCCTAAATTTAGTCTTGGGCTTCTGATAACGCTGCTAATGTTCGGTGTAGGTAGGAATGGGTTTGGGGGATGGGGGGACCTATCAGCAAAATTAAGGAATAATTATGTGAGTTCTGGTAAAGGAGAATTCATGGGAAAGAATTGTTCACACATACAGAACCAAGCAGGACCTGATAGCTCTAGGGGTACCATTTCTCTAAAAAAAATTCTGCTGAAGAAAGTTTGTCACTGCAGGTTGTTACAAGGTTAAAAGGAGTTGGCTTGTCTCAAATAAATAAATTTTTTCCCCAGTAGGATTGAAGAGGGGAGAGAGTTGGGTACCCAAGTATACTTGAATGTGTTAGAATCAAAGCTGAAACGTCACCTCATGTTTTAACCACTACCTTTCCACTGCTTTGTTGAAGCAGTTGCCTTCAAGGCACTTCATACCAGAAAGCAATCCTGTAAATTTGAAGTAGGTTTACCCCACAGAAAATAGCTTCATTGTGCCCTTGAAGTAGCTGTGTCATCACTCCTAAAAAAATCAGTTATTTTAAGTGAAAGTTCTAATATAAAATCTGCAGAGAAGATAAAGAGCTATATATATACATGGTAAAAAAATTGTAAAACTGACTCTGTTACAGTGTAGTTTGTTGTACATCTGAAATAAAGCTAACAGATCCATGAGTTTGGCAAGTGAGAATCACAACACGTGGAGAGCAGTGAGGCCTGTTGGGAAGCACAATTGCAGTTTTCACTGCATACATACCTGTCCTTCACCTGCTGCACAGAAACCAGTAACAGAAGCAAGCTGTGGACAGTTCAGTTGGGATAGAGCTGATGATAAATCTTCCTTCTTCCCTAGTCCCTGGAGCAGTTTTGCCCAAGAGTCTTGTACTGAGTGTGGGAACCTCCAGTTCCCAAATGTGTAGAACAGACACACTGTAAAAAAATTAACATACTTGTATCTTCTCCAGCATGGACTCAGAGCCAGTTGTAACACACAGAGAGAAAAGAAAACATACATATAAAATCTATTAAAATAAAACAAGAAAAAATAATATCTTAACTGGTTGATACAGTTTCAGAAGACCATAAGAGAAGTCATATTGGATCAAGCCAATGGCCCATCCAGTCCAACACTCTGTGTCACGCAGTGGCCAAAACCCAGGTGCCATCAAGAGGTCCACCAGTGGGGCCAGAACTCCAGAAGCCCTCCCACTGTTTCCCCCCAAGCACCAAGAGTATAGTGTTCCATCTATATGTTGTGGCTAATAGCCACTGATGGACCTTTGCTCCATATGTCTACCCAATTCCCTCTTGAAGATGTCTGTGCTTGTAGCCACCACCACTTCCTGCGGTGTTGAATTCTGCATGTTAATTACTCTTTGGGTGAAGAAGTACTTCCTTTTTTCTGTTCTAAGTCAATTGCTCTTTAATTTCATTGAGTGCCCATGAGTTCTTGTATTGTGAGAAAGGGAGAAGAGTACATCTTTCTCTACCTTCTCTATCCCATACATAATTTTGTAAACCTCTATCTTGTCAACCCTCAGTCATTGTTTCCCCAAGCAAAAAAGCCCTAACCTCTTTAACCTTTCTTCATAGGAAAAGTGTTCCACCCCCTTAATCATTTTAGTTGCCCTTTTCTGTACCTTTTCCAATGCTATAGTATCTTTTTTGGGGTATGGTGACCAGAACAGTACACAGTATTCCAAATGAGGCCGCACCATAAATTTATATGGGAGCATTATGATACTGACTAATTTGTTTTCAGTCCCCTTCATAATAATCTCCAGCATAGCATTTTTGCCTTTTTTATTAAAGTTGCACACTGAGTGCATTTATGGTGATTTATCTACCATGACTCCAAAATCTCTTTCCTGATCAGTTACTGCCAGTTCAGACCTCATCAGCGTATATTTATAGTTGTGATTTTTGGTTCCACTGTGCATTATTTTTACTTGCCTGTGGTGATCCTCATTTGCCACATTGACACCACTCATCCAGCCTTGACACATCCATCTGGAGTGCCTCACAGTCC